TCTCCAACCCTAAACCATTTCCCCCATCCCTGCAGCCGCCTCCCCGAGCTCCTCGCCCCCTCCACTCCCTCCACACCGCCTCCTCCCATCTCTTGACGAGGCAGCTCCCAAGCGAGGATCCAGCGCCTCCCTACACTGCCGCTGTCCATCCCTCCTCATCCTGGATCCTGCAGGGCCGAGGTGTAAGGTGCGGAGGCAAGCTTTTCCGGCGGCGGGGGCGACCTACAGGCAAAGGGCGACCGGCGGCGCTCGATTCGATCTGCGGGAGATAATATGAGAGGGAGGGAGAGAAGGGAGGAGATGAGGGAGAAAGAGAGAGGAAAGAGGAGAGGGACGTGCAGGGGCGGACGGGAGAGGGTCACCGGAAGGAGCGCCCCGGCTCGTCGTTCACACCGCCCTGGAGGAAGAGGAGAGGGAGGTGCAGCAGTGGATGGGAGAGGGCCACTGGAAGGAGCGCCCCGGCTCGTCGTTCACACCGCCCTGGAGGAAGAGGAGAGGGAGGTGCAGCAGTGGATGGGAGAGGACCACTGGAAGGAGCGTGGCCGGCGTCGTTCGCACCACGCGTGAGCAGAGATGCCTCTATACAGCCCTCATGCCCGCAGGTTCCTCCTCCTTCCTTCCTGCTACTCCTCTCTTTGGATTAGTGAAGCTGTACTGCATGTTGGGTCAGTGTCATGTCTGCTGTTGATGGACAACACTTTACACAAGTCAACCATCCAATTCAATCTCTATTAGCACTAGGAGAAGAGCATCAAAAAGAGAAGAGTCCCTATAATCTACATTAGTCGATTTGAGGGTATGTTGAATGTGACATTTAATAAAGATGGTAATTCTTGCTATTCAGAGTACACAAGTGGTTGCCCCTGAGGTCTCCTCCTTGTCCGGCTTGTTCATTAAGGTAAGATTTTGATTGTCTCAATTTGTCGTGTAAATGCTCATATTCCGTTGAGTTCATGTGTATAAATCAAGTGGGCTGAAGCGTGTGCTGTGAATTTCCTGAAGGAGATCACTTGAGATATTATATGCATTTTGTGGATTGTTGAGTTTGCTTGGTTATTGGAATACCATGCCTGTGCAGGTCGGCAGGGGGAAGGTCCAGGTTGAGACCTTCAAGATGGATTTGATGTTGCTATTATTTCAGTTTGTGGAAAGGGGATGTGATTCCAGCAAGACAGAGACGACGGCAATGACAAGTGAGATTTCTGTTAAGGAGTATTAGTAGATGTTCACATGATCGCTGGAAGCATATAAAGGTATCCACAATGATGGTTGCGTTCTTATCGACACATAATTTATTTATGATTATTGATAGTGTACCTTTGTGATCGTAGCTGCAATCCATCTCAATGTGTAGTTTCTGAACGTCCATGTCCATCGCCAGCTTAACAGCCTGTCAGAGCAACTCAGCCACTTCAGGGCTACAAACCTGATCGAACACATGACACGCATCTCCTTTGAAAGCTCCATCTTGATCTCTAAACACTACACCACCACCAGCTATACTTCCCGACTTTGAGCTCGCACCACCACTCCATTAGCAGTGAAATGAACCTTGATTTGAACCGTTCCAGTTTGTCTGTGGTTGTACTCTATTTGGATCCAAATAGAGTAAGAAGGAAAAGGAAATGTATTGCGAGTGAGCAGGGCAAGATTTTGTTCGGCAAGGGCATTAACTGTAGGTAAGCGGATGCAGTGAGCCAGTGACCAGAGAGTCTCGTGATCAGACCGTGGGTGGTTATTGTTGCATTATTCATATCTCCCCTGTTTTGAGTATAACCCAGTAGCTGAAAGTTTATGTATAGTCAAATGTAATTGACTAACTAGAGAGTTCATGTATCTACATGAAAATAAGTTAATACAAATGAAAAGTTGTTGAATGCATTTATCTTCGTTCAATGTGTGCCCCATAGTTAATTCAAGTTCTTACATTAGAAAGAAAATGGACAACCATTCTCAAATGCTGACACTTCTTAGAACTTCTCTTTTCATAACTGCAACTTCTGTACTTTGTGAGCATGTAGTGCAGTGCCAAATATTTGGGATGTCGCGTATACATAGATTATATTGCATGGCTTTTTGATACTAAATGGCACAATGTTTCTTTGTTCCCTAATTTCCCTCCTACTTTTTCTTCAGTTTCCAAATACACTTTCAACTACTAATTATTTCAGTTTATTCTGGACATGCAATTTGATGCAACATAGTTCTCATGATACCAGTAATCTTCAATAGACAAAGGAATTTGTGCAAAATGGAGAAAATAAATAAGCCAATCTTTTACCCTATACATATACAATATTTAATGATGTGGTTAGTAAGGCCTTCCTTTGGTGGCTAATTTTTTTATTGTTATGCTTGAAACAATTTTTTAAACTGATAATGATCTAGAATAAAATAGACCAATGATACTCAAACTGACGAGGAGGCTGGGGCACGTCTTCTGACCTGTAGCAGACTGTACAGGCAGCGGGGCGCCGGTCTCGCTATTGGTCTAGACCATGGGCGCAGCTTGGTCGAGCTACAGCGAGTGCATCTGATTCCAACACATCAAGGTGAGCTCACTCTTTTATTCTTCTCAGGCAACGAG